CACAAAAAAAAAAACTAGTGACCACGTGAATATTCTCGATAATAGATCCTGTTAACCTTAACTGGACTTCTTGGTCTTTGGTCCACCAGATTTTCATTTCGTATATTTTTTTTATCGTAGAACGGCTTAAAGTGATGCTTTGATGTAAAATATATGTAAAGATATTTTTTTTGTTATCTTAATTAAGACCTAATAATAGTGTACTATGATATCACTAACGTGAACATTATACTAATTGTGATTATTATAATCTTATAATACTAATACGTTTTAAGTCCACATATTTATGAATATGATGACATTAGGGTTTGAAGAGATAGTCTGTAGCAAATTTTTGGCACGTAAAGATATTATAAGAAAATCGGAGAAAAGTTTTTTCCTCAAATAGTCTGAGAGGGCGAAAACCGAGCAGACGGATTACCTGATGCTAAGCAATAGCAATCGCTGCCGCCCATGCCCAAAACTATAGGGATTTACTAAGGGAGGGAAAAGATTTGTTGTGATTTTAATTAAATATTTTGGAGATCTGGCAAAATCAACCTAGTTCCAAATTTCTTACAAAATATCAAAAGTAGGAAAGTATCAATATTAAGCGATTTAGTTGTTGTAAGGTGAGGAAAAAACGAGCAAAATAATCTAAAAAGATTTCTTGAACAAATTACAAAATGTGCAGGAGAAAACGCAGGTACCCCCTCAGCTCTTATAACGTGTTCCAGGGTAGGTCCCAATACCGGACCCTGTGGAACACCGCACGGTGGAAGTGAGCACATTACAGTAAATTATAAGATATCAATTTCAATTCTGTCATGCTTTTTTTTATTAGATCGACAGACATGCAGACTGGTTACACGATGATAAGCAATTAGCGCCGCCCGTGCACACCCGCAACGGAGGAGCTACAAGTGCATTGCCGACCTTTTAGGGAGTAGGGATTTGAAGATTTAAGGATTGAGGAAGGGGGAGGGGAGAATTATATTCCAGTTTAGAGGCAGCCCCTCAACCCCCGGAGGTATGTTTATTATTAGCATTTATCCCAAGTTTAAACGCCTAATTATTAGATGTCAGCAATGTCCACGCCATGTGTCATTGCGGACACTTTAATGTTTTAAGCATTAGTGTTTAAGTACCGTCTTAGGTTTGATTTTTATGTAAATCGTCATTCGCGTGATGGAAAGATAAGTAGTTACATTGTCGGAAGAATTTTTATTCAGAATTCCGCATATCTTCTGCCAGGGAGCTATTCTACTGTAACAGGTGGGGAAAAATAGAGACGATGTTCTGTAAATTCATTCAATAAAGGGTTGGCGGTTGCAGCTGCAATGTGTTAGCTTAAAGATTTACCGCTGCTTCGGCATGAAGCAGGAGAAGGAATGGGGTGGTTTTTGGTCAGTAAGAGTCGAACAGGTAGCTCTCGCCAAACCCAGGCGAGAAGCGAGAAGTCATTTGATAACATTCCCAACACAAAAAACTAGTGACCACGTGAATATTCTCGATAATAAATCCTGTAAACCTAAACTGGACTTCTTTGGTTCCTAGACCTCTCAGAGAGACATGAGATATTGGTTATCATATTTCAGATGCTGTAAGCAGTCACTTATCGATGGTCTTTGGTCCACCAGATTTTCATTTCGTATATTTATTTTAATCACAGAACACCTTAAGGCGATGCTTTGATGTGAAATAAATTAAAGATATTTTTTTGATATCATAATATTTTCGTTATCTTTATTAAGACTTAATAATAGTTTAATATAAAATCACTAACGTGAATATTATACTAATTGTGATAATTATAATCTTATCATACTTATACGTTTTAAGTCTACATATTTATGAATATGATGACATTAGGGCTTGAAGAGATAGTCTGTAGCAAATTTTTGGCACGTAAAGATATAATAAGAAAAACTGAGAACAGGTTTTTCCTCAAATAGGATGATAGGGCGAAAAACGAGCAGACGGATTACCTGATGGTAAGCTATAGCAATCGCTGCCGCCCATACCCAAAACTATAGGGAGTTACTAAGGGAGGGAAAAGATTTGTTGTGATTTTTATTAAATATTTTGGAGATCTGGCAAAATCAGCCTAATTCCAAATTTCTTACAAAATATCAAAAGTAGGAAAGTTGTTGTAAGGTGAGGAAAAAACGAGCAAAATAATCTAAAAAGATTTCTTGAACAAATTACAAAATGTGCAGGAGAAAACGCAGGTACACCCCATCAGCTCTAATTGCTGGCGAGTATCCGATAAAGATGTGTGGCTTAAATTCATGCAATGATTATTATCAGCATGATTTCGTCCTTTGCTGAACATAGGCCTCCCCAATTGCAGTTCATACAATACTATTCGTTCATACTATATATTATTATGTACAATACGGTAAATATTTACTGGAAATTGCAAACAGGCTCTTTAAATAACGTGCGTCAGGACGTTTGACACGGGCTTTAAAATTGTCCTTATCAATTATACCCGCAATATAATTTTGATAAATAGATAAACGGTAACAAATATCAAAATCCGTTTTTTGCTGATTTACCTCCTATCTTTTCTATATAAGTAATATCTTAATGTGGTATAAATTAGTGACAAGGCGTACGCGAAAGAGAACTGTGACTTCCAGACAAAACAAGATTTTTCCAGAAGTAAGTTAATATTGATGTTTTTTGCTTTTATTTGTCAATATTCCTTATTAGCCAGTAGCTGATCTAGCAAACTCCATATGGCTTAAAACGTTTTAAAATGTCAGTTTAGTTAGCAAATCTCTAATAACACTGGTCAACAAAATTTCAACTTTGTCGTGCCACATGGACTTTTTTGATATTTTTTACTTTAACTGGTGATTGTAATAAAAAATAAACAGTTAAAAAAATTTGCTAGACAAAGATTTTATTCTATTGAGTAATTTAAAATATTAAGAAAAAATACAGATCTCGTAAATCAAAAGATTATTTTTTTATAAATGACTTAGAAAATTTAAGATTTTCTTGAATATTTAGCTTCTGGTTGGTCCCTTTTAATTGTTCAGCAGTAATCTGCTAACATATTTGGGCTCCATTTGCCCTGGTACCGCTTTTCCATATCAGAAATATCCTGATGGAACCTCTAGCCGTGCTCGTCACTGACAGCCCCTAAATTGTCAGGAAAAAAACCCAGGTGCGAGTCTAAAAAATGGATCTTAAGTGACATATTGCAACCTAATGCTTGATATGACAATAACAGCTCGCTAACCAACTCTCTGTAGCTGTCACTCTTGTGGTTACCCAAAAAATTTGCAACAACATTTTTAAAAGACTTCCATGCTGATTTTAAATTTTTCACACACGTTATGCAACAGACATGAGGGGCCCAGGATTTGTCTTGATGGGCGACAGAAAAACCAAAACATTGGTGATAACACTCCATCACAAGATTTGTAAAATTTCGTCGTTGTTTTTTGAATGTAAGTTCTCCGCAGACATAACAAAAACAGTTAGGATCATTAATACACTTCCTTGACATGCTCACAGGGTTAATAAATCCCAAAAAAGTGTTCAAATTCAACGATAAATATTTTTATAACGATTAACTTGTAAGCGTTTCTGTTAAGTTACTGCCGTAGTACTAGTTAATGAGTATTACCGTATCACAACAAATAGGAGGCTAATTGACATATGGCAACTGTGATTTAATAATGAGGGTAGATTGATAAAACATAATTAGCTATCAAAGTTCGTGTGGCAAAACCAGTGTTGACCAGTGTAATTAATGTCGCTTACGGAGAAAGTGGTTTATTGGTATTTGTCGTTATTTTTGTATTTTGAACAAAACTTATTTCGGCCAGCCTAGGCCTCCAAAATATTAGAAAATGAAATATAATTAAATGGTCCCTCGACTAACTTTTATTTTCATCTAAAAAAAGACTAGAGCTGAACGGGCAAACTCCGTATCGTCTTAAAATAAACTATGTAATATTTCATTTAATGTTGAGAGATTCGTTCTTTGTCCAATATCGAATGCCTTTTACAGAACGAAAATTTATGGTTTTACAATTGTTTTGCTATTAATTTATATTTCGTTTCCATTTACATCCTCCTTGAACTTTAATCAATGTTTTGAAAATGACGGAAGAAGATAGACGAAGGATAAGATCGATACAAACGATGTTGTTTTTAAAATTAGTCACGTCATCAGGGAGATTCATTCTTTTGATGTTTTCCACAAAAAGAGGGCTGGCTTAATGTTCTATTTTATAACAATTCATCCGCTTATATTCCTTATTTACAGTAAAATTTAATCATCTATTTAAAATTGATGATAAATATTGACACACCTAGTTCCTCTTCTCGCGCCGATAATACAAGACGCATTATAATTTGCATTTCAAACAAAGGCATGACTCTCTATTAAAAGGGATGGTGAGAATACGAAAACTTAGAGACAACCAGCAAATTAGTACCTTATAAGAGTTCTTTTTTTGGTTGAGAGGATCACCTCTACGCTCGCCGCGTCATAACGTTTTTATCGCGTTGACGTCAAACAAAATCGTACAATGAGAAGACGCCGAAACATAGGATGACAATATTGTTGTTTGAATTTATTGTCAGCTCTTAAACATTGAATGTACTTCCAAAGACAGCAGCAGCAATGGCATCAACCAAGTTATTGTATTTAAATGGTTGTATAAAAATATATGTACTCGTTTTTTAATTAAAATAGATGCCACAAATTAAGGGTGGTCCTCGATTTTCCAAATAACTTATCATCCTATACGGATGACGTAGATAAATAAGACCTAAAAACATTTTGTACTAGCTTCCATCAAGCCAATCCGCGGGCCTTGGCTTGATTCATATAAAAGTAATGAATCCCTGGATCTTAAAAAAAGCAGCGTTCAAAGCGTAGTACGAAAATCAAGTATCATTTTAATCTCAAGAACATTGTAGCTGTGAAAGAATTTTGGAAATCTGACCAGGTTTCTAGAAATATAACTAAAGTTATTACTTAAATGTTCCTATAGATGAGGAGCTTCATCATCATCGTGGTGCTATCAGCAGTCGCAGCCTGCTATGGTTCTTCTATCCTCCCTGGGAAGGCAAACATGTTCTCATCCTTCGTTCGAGAACAGATGTCAAAGGGTTGGATCTTGGAGCATAATGAAGAAGACGCTGCCCAGAACAGAGTCACTCTGACCAAAGGAGAAACTAGTGATGATTATATTCTTTTCTATCAGTAAGTATTATAAAAACTAATCCGTCTGAGCAAGTCTTGAGATGTTTGTTATATAATTATACAAAATAACTTCAGATAACTTTAGGACGCGTTAGGGCAGGTAGTGATATTTATGATAATGATGGCGATTTCAAATTGAGTTTAGCTTAAATGAGTACCTATCAATGACGTATGGAATATTATTTATTTATTATTAGTTCATATGTAATGGTACAAGTGGGCAAAGGAGTTAAGATATCTGCGACTAATCCTTGCACACCTATATCGAATACACACGCCATAATATGTTGGTCAGACTGCGATATCTGTTGACGTTGAGTGGGCTCCACCAGGGGCGAGTTTTGCCCACCTCTGAACGGACATGACCATTGCAGCGTTCATCTCTTTTATTAAATTCACATGTAACAATCTAAACATATTTGTTTTTCAATGAATATACGCTTTGTATATTCGTTTGCTACGCCCTTACCTGGTGATGTATTGTAATTTCCTAGCTACTCCTGGTAGGTACAATGTGCAATAAATAAATAAATATATATTTTCAGGCAAACATGTTACGTGCCAGCTATACCCTACGACTTTGGGCGTTGCGATGTGGTGTACCGTGGTGAACCAAACGAGAAAATTTATAGTATCCAGATTACCTCTTACTGGCCACCACCTTCTTACATCCATTCCGAAGGGCTAGGGACTAATGTTGGCCGAGTACGTATAGTATCACAATGGGGAGAGATGCTTTACACAATCGTTAGAATGTATGGCAAAATTATTGAAGATAATTCAGAATCATAAAGCTTGAGCTTATTAATCGTTAAGTCGATTTTATCCTCACTCAACCTGTGTATCACTGCATATCCCGAAAATAAATTCCATTAAAAAAGCTATTTATTATTTTATTTAATGATACTGAATGTGATTGGGGACTGATGTTTGGGGAATTATTGGGACTCCGGTAACCTCACTCACACAACCCTGTGACTGGTTCACGCCAGTTTTCTGTGAAGTCGTGGTATCTTTTCGGTCGAGGCGACCCATTCGTGCCAAGGTTTGGCTCTCCCACACTTAAATGATCATTATTATGGTATCTTGTTTATACTCGTACATAGTTCATGAAAATTACATTCTATAGATAAATATCCAAATTCATCTGAGACATACGTTTTTATCGTTCATTTTTATATTTGTGCTCTGCTCTTTGTGTGATCTACAATTTTTTTCCGGGTTTTCGAAAACGCAAATCCCTGGCTATATCCATTTCGATGATACAGGGGAGACGAGGGAGGGGGTTAAATAGCCTGGAAGAACAATGGATGGCACGGTCTTGCTCGTTTTGCTCGAGACTAAACTCAGATGACGATATATTTAATGCGTTAAAGAAAATTGTGAGTTTCCAAGCCGACCACCATCAGTTTGGAAACTCACAATTTTCTATTGACAAGAAACATCCGTTATAAATAGAAATACAGTCCACTCATAACATCACATTTTTTTTTTTTATTTGATTGGTCGGCAAACGAGCAGACGGATTACCTGATGGTAAGCAATCAGCGCCGCCCATGGACACTCGCAACGGAGGAGTTACGAGTGCGTTGCCCACCTTTTAGGGATTAGGGATTTGGAGATTTAGGTATTTAGGAGGGATTGGGGGAGGGTAAGGATTGGGCCTCCTCCGGTAACCTCACTCACACGGCGAAACACAACGCTGTGGTTATTTCACGCCGGTTTTCTGTGAGGCCGTGGTTTCACTCCGGTCGAGCCGACCCATTCGTGCCGAAGCATGGCTCTCGCACACTTGATTATTTTAGTTTATACATAGAAAGCTGATTAATAACTTTTAATGCCGTCTATTAAACAGAATTCTCTCTCGCAGAGGCAGTTTATCTTAAATGTGTAGTATATTGTCGTGTGAAAGGACAAGTAGTCTCACCTCATATGGGTAATTTGCTACAGCAGCACTTGAACCTCGGGGGCTACCAGATTGAAACAGAAGGTGTCGACTATGCTGGACCTGTTTTCTCAGCTAGTCGACAAGTATGCGGTTGTCGACTCACCAAAGTGTATATTGTAGTATAAATGCTGTTCATATCAAGTCGGTAGATAATTCAACAAGCAACAATTTCCTGTCAGCTCTTCGTAGACCCAAACACAATTACTTCGATAATGGAACCTTATTTGTCGGAGCTTATAATGTGATTTGGAAAGGACATGGCCAAAAAAGTACATTCCACGTACACACACATAATTAATACACTGTAAAAAAAATATAAATATGAATTATTACGTAGTTTTTAGCCTCTCCAGACCTGACAATTATTATTAAAAAAATGTAAAAGTAATGCATGTAAACGTACAATCCATATACACAAACATAATAAAATACACTGTAAAATAAAAATAGAAAAATGAATTATTACGTAGTTTTATTTTATTTATTTTCCTTAATAAATAAATCATTATTATTAATAGCTATTCTTTTGTTTTATTTTATTAATAAATAATACGCCTTATGGTTTTTAATAGCAAATCCTATTTTTGCTTTATTGCCAGTAATCTGACAAAAGGTAGTGAAATTATTATCGTCTAGTGTGTTGTAATGACAAATTCTTCATGTGTTTTATTTATTGCAATTTAATTTAACAATATTCACGAATGTAAACACCAAAAATCATTGATGTACCTTGAATTCAATAACTACGCAAACGCCCATACAAAAATTGGCCATGTCCTTTATTAAGGATAACTGCAACTCTTTACCTAGTGATTTGGCTGAGGTAGAAATAACCTTTCATTTTATCCCTCCTTATACTCCACAATTTGAAAGTCTTTAAGAGTCTTTTATCAAGTCTATTTAATATCGTTTAAAGAAAGTACTAGAAAATTGTAATCTTATATTTGAGGAACACTGAATTAGTTTAAATAGATACCTTACTGAACTCACGTCCACTCACGCCACTATTATCGGGCCTCATGATCTTTTGCCGCTTACACCTAGACAATTTCTCATAGGACGGCCCCTCAAAGCTTTGCCAACGCCAAGTTATGAAGGTTGCTCAAAGACTCATTTAACCAGATACCAAAGAATTGAGTAACTCTGTCAGCACTTTTGGACAAGATACAATAAAGAGTACGTATCGGAGATACAACAGCGAGTAAAATGGAGGTCATGTTCTACACCGATCAAGATTTCGTAGGTACTCATAAAGAATCAGAATCCTCCAGAAAGCGCTACACCCTGTGCAGGATGAAATTAGCCCTGTTGCTGATATCAGGACTACGGATGGAGTGGTTCGTCGAGCGTTCAGCAAAATCTGTCCCTTACCTGCAGTAAAGTCAGCCGGGGTTGCGGGGTAAGCGCAATGAGGCACCGCGACCTCGGCAGGGTTTTTAGTCAGTAAGAGTCTGACACTCCCTCCCGCCCGGCCCTGGGCGGGAAAAGTCATTTGATGATTTTCCCCTCACAAAAAAAAACCTGCAGTAAAGTATTCCAGTTTAGATGCAGCCCCTCAACCCCCGGAGGGATGTTTATTATTAGCATTCATCCCAGGTTTAAACGCCTAATCATTAGATGTCAGCAATGTCCACGCCATGTGTAATTGCGGACACTTTAATGTTTTAAGCATTAGTGTTTAAGTACCGTCTTAGGTTTGATTTTTATGTAGATCGTCATTCGCGTGATGGAAAGATAAGCAGTTACATTGTCGAAAGAATTTTTATTTAGAAATCCGCATAATTATATTCTGCCAGAGAGCTATTATACTACAACAGATGGAGTTAGGTATATTTGGTGCAACTGCAATATGTAAGCGAAATAATGTACCGCTGCCTCGGCATGAAGCAGGAGAAGGAATGGGGTGGTTTTTGATCAGTAAGAGTCTAACACTACCCCTCGCCAAACCCAGGCGAGAAGTCATTTGATAACATTCGATATTATATATAAATCCTGTAAACCTTAACTGGACTTCTTTGGTTCCTAGATCGCTAAGAGACATGAGATGACATTATACATGAGATTTTTTTAAATCACAAAACCGCTTCCGCCGATGCTTTGATGTGAAATAAATTAAAGATTTCTTTTTTCATATCATAATCTTCGTTATCTTTAATAAAACTTAAAAATAATTTACTATGAATCACTAACGTGAACATTATACTTATTGTGATAATTATAATTGTATCATATTAATACGTTTAAAGTCCACATATTTATGAATACGATGACATTAGGGTTTGAAGAGATAGTCTGTAGCAAATTTTTGGCACGTAAAGATATTATAAGAAAAACTGAGAAAAGTTTTTTCCACAAATAGTCTGAGAGGACGAAAAACGAGCAGATGGATTACCTGATGGTAAGCAATAGCAATCGCTGCCGCCCATGCCCAGAACTATAGGTAGTTACTAAGGGAGGGAAAAGATTTGTTGTGATTTTTATCAAATATTTCATATTTGACATTATTATAATAAAATTGTGCACTGATAAAAAGATCAGTGCTATATGACATTACATAATGAGCTATTGCTTATTATTTGCTATTGCTTTTTAATGTCAACTTTTGGAATTTTTGACTGATTGATGATGACATAACATTTTAATTGATTAATTGATTAATTACTTGCAACAAACATTATATTGTTTAATTTATGATATTAAATATTTGCATGCCTGGCTTGGTGAAATGTGAGGATCTCAAAAATATTGTATTACCTTCAATGACCTCAATGACCTCCTTCAAAAATTTTTTAGGAAATAAAAATTAATTTGATTTGATCTTTTTCTCTCTTTGAGTGGGTGAAAGGGCGGAGATAAGTAATAAATAATAATAATGATAATAATAACACAACAAATGAATCAAGCGCAATACCATCCAGAGGAGAATTAGAAACATTTTGGGCCGGATTATGGGAAGAACCTGTTAGTCACAATGGTAACGCATCTTGGATAACAGAAGAACAAACAAAGTGGAGAGGTATAGACGAAATGGAATTCAAAGAAATAACGGAAGCTGACATTGCAAACGTAACAGCTAGACTACATAATTGGAAGTCACCTGGAATAGACAAAATACATAACTTTTGGTTTAAAAAATTAACTATCCTTCATAAATATATAGCAAAAAACTTAACTGAAATAGTACTAGGAAGTCAAAGAATACCGGATTTTATAGCAACAGGAATAACGTACATGTTACCTAAAACTAAACACTCACGACAGCCCTCACAGTACAGACCTATCACCTGTTTACCCACAATCTACAAAATACTAACATCAGTTATTACAACAAAAATCAATTCCCACATCGAACGACACAAAATAATGGCAGAGGAACAGAAGGGATGTAGGCGGGGCCACATGGGGTGCAAAGAGCAACTAATCATTGATTCTACTATTCACAAACAAGCCATATCAAAAAATAGAAATCTGCATTGCACATATATTGACTATAAAAAAGCCTTTGACAGTGTCCCACATTCTTGGTTGATTCAAATATTGGAGATTTATAGAATAAATAAAAGAATTATAGATTTTCTTCGTAACATAATGCCTCATTGGAAAACTACGCTACATATCCACACTACTGATAATAATGTTAGTACGCGACAGATTAGCATCAAGAAAGGTATCTATCAAGGAGACTCCCTAAGCCCCTTGTGGTTCTGCCTCGCCCTGAACCCTCTTTCCCATTTGCTGCAAAATTGCCAGGCCGGGTATTGCCTCAAACATAGTTCTAAAGAAACAATAATTTCACATTTAGTATATATGGACGACATTAAACTTTACGCCAAATCTGAAAAAG